ATCAATCACATCCGACATAACAGGTCAATGCAAAGTAAATCTTGTCATTCTTGATCACTTTTACAAGCAAGTTAATCTTTCATTGTTACCAGATCTTTGTGCAGATATAATTGTTGGACATGATATTTTGAAAAACCATGCAAGTATTAAAGTAGTCTTTGGTGGCAACAAGTCACAACTAACCGTATGTAGCGTGGCAGCCTCAACTGTAGAACCGGTATCTTTGTTTTCTAATTTAAAACCGGAATGTAAGCCAATCGCAATCAAGTATCATCACCATAGCACCGATGATTTAAAGTTTATTGAAAACGAAGTAAGTAAATTGCTTAAAGACGATGTTATAGAGCCTAGTATGTCTCCATGGAGGGCTCAAGCATTAGTAGTTACTACTGAAAATCATAGAAAAAGAATGGTCATTGACTACTCCAGGACTATAAATCGTTTTACATTACTGGACGCTTACCCACTACCTAGAATCGATGATATCGTTAACAAAGTTGCAAATTATGAGTTTTTCAGTACTATCGACTTGAAAAGTGCGTACCACCAAGTAAAGATAAGAAATGAAGAAAAGCACTACACAGCTTTTGAGGCCTGTGGTCAACTCTACCAGTTTAAGCGTATCCCGTTTGGGGTCACTAATGGAGTGGCAGCATTCCAACGTGTAATTGACCAAGTCATCCGAACAGAACAGTTACAAGACACTTACGCATATCTTGATGATGTCACAATCTGTGGAAAAACACAAGAACAACACGATATAAACTTAAAAAAGTTTATCGAAGCTGCATCCAAATACAACCTAACTATTAATAATGAGAAGTCTTCATTTTCACTGCGATCGATCAACTTGTTGGGCTATCATATATCAAACAAAACTATCAAGCCTGATCCCAGTCGCCTAGATTCTTTGAAAAATTTACCTCCACCCAGAGACACCGCATCACTGAGGAGGACCCTAGGTATGTTTTCACATTATGCATCACTTATACCAGATTATGCTACCAAAGTGATTCCACTTGCGCGTACTACATTCCCTTTGTCCAAAGCAGGGCTCCAGTCTTTCGAAACTATAAAAAGTGAAATCATCGGATCTGTAGTAAGCTGCATTGACCCTGAAGCACAGTTCATTGTAGAAACTGATGCATCTGAGAGTACCATTGCTGCTACTTTGACTCAATCGAACCGTCCAGTCGCATTCTTCTCAAGGATACTTTCTCCAGCAGAACAAAGACATTCAAGTGTCGAAAAAGAAGCACAAGCTATTGTGGAAGCACTGCGGAAATGGCGTCACTATTTGGTTGGTAAACATTTCAAGCTGATTACTGACCAGAGGTCAGTTTCTTTTATGTTCGATAACAACCGTCATGGCAAAGTGAAAAATGAAAAGATAATGAGGTGGAAACTGGAATTGTCGTGCTTTCATTATGATATTGTATATAGACCCGGTAAAGATAATATGGCTGCAGATGCCCTGACTAGAGTATGTTCTTCAATCCAAAATCAAGAAAAACTGTTGATTGATTTACATGCGAATCTATGTCATCCAGGTGTGACACGTTTGTACCACTGGGTTCGAAGTAAAAACTTGCCCTACTCGATTGATGAAATCAGACGAATAACAAACTCCTGCAATGTGTGTGCTGCTGTGAAGCCTAGATTCTTCAAACACAAAGGGATTTTGATTAAAGCCACTTCTGCATTTGAACGGCTGAATATCGATTTCAAAGGCCCGCTGCCTTCATCAAGTCGAAACCGTTACTTATTAGTAATAGTAGACGAGTTTTCACAGTTCCCTTTCGCTTTCCCTTGTTCAGACATGTCATCGTCAACAGTTAAGTCGAAACTAAAAACATTATTTTCTACTTTTGGGGTTCCTAGTTACATACATTCGGACAGAGGGACATCATTTCTGAGCCAAGACTTAAAAAGCTACTTGAACTCACTTGGAATCTCAACTAGTAGAACCACTGCGTACAATCCAGCAGGTAATGGGCAAGTTGAAAGGTATAATGGCATTCTATGGAAAACAATTGAACTGGCGTTGAAATCACTTAACTTAGAAATAAACCAATGGGAGACAGTTTTAGAGGATGCCCTCAGCTCAGTGAGATCATTACTTTGCACAGCCACAAATCAAACTCCTCACGAGCGTATGTTCTTACATCCACGTAGATCTGGGAACAATGGTGTTTCAGCTCCTTCATGGCTTCTCAATTCCGGCCCTGTCTACTTGAAGAGATTCAATCGTACGTCCAAGTATGAGCCACTTGTTGAAGAGGTCCAACTTCTTCACGGGAATGCCGAGTATGCTCATGTTAAGTTGCCTGACGGAAGAGAAACTACCGTGTCTACACGTCATCTTGCTCCGGTTGGTGAGTACCAAACCGACATAGAGCAAACCGATTTTGAGAGTGATGAAAATATTCTATTACCCACTTCTCAACCTGAACCTGAATACTTTCCTAGTCCACAGAACCAAGAAGATGAAATGAATACTACTGCCGAGAATTTACAACCTAGACAAGAAGCTTCTAGAGGAGAGAACCATAACACATGTCCGAGAAGAAGTTTCAGAAGCAGAAGACCTCCTAATTATTTAAATGACTACGTTCATTAACATTAGGGAGGAAGAATGTAGTAAAAAACATGTGTCTTCAATTCTTTATTATTGTTTTGTTGTGTTTGTAAACAAGTCCATTATAATTCAATGTAGTATTGTTCAAGTTATTAAAAACCTTTCTAAAGGTAATAAAAGTTCTTTTCATTCATTCTTACTCTCATTACAACCGCGATCGCATGCAAAAACGGCCACAATTTTGTTCTTTTATTCCAATTTTTTGGCGCCCCCCAAAAAAGCCAATTGTCTCGCGCCCTAGGCACGTGCCTACCTTGCCTATTCGGTAAATCGTCCCTGTCTTATGCATTTCGTAATACACAAACTCCTCCTGGTGAGTGCCAACATCTATATAGTGTTAAAAAAGTGTCTCAGGAATCCGCCCCACTGGGTCTCAAAGTTTCAATGTAATCCTTATGGAAGCAGTATTTGACACATAAACAAAAACATATGATCAGCAGTTAAATTTGGAATGCAGTAGATAAAGAAATAGCTGATAGCATTAATATTAGAACAGCAACGGTATGGATCATAAATTTAATCAAATGACGACACCAGATTGAGGTCCGTGACGTAGGAAGTGGTGAAGGAAGTAGTAAAGGTGAGCAGTCTGGAGCGTTGAAACTGTTTATGACGATTAGATTTAGGTATCTGCATTCCTAAAATTCTATGGGAAGGCAGGAAAACGGGTCCGCGACGTAGGAAGTGGTGAAGGAAGTAGTCAAGGCGAGCTGTCCGGAGTGTGAAAACTGTTTATGACTATTAGATTTAGGTACTGTATCTGAATTCTTAAAATTCTATGGGAAGGCAGGAAAACGGGTACGCGACGTATGAAGTGGTGAAGGAATAAGTCAAGGCAAGCTGTCCGGAGTGTGGGAACTGTTTATGACAATTAGATTAAGGTATCTGCATTCCTAAAATTCTATGGGAAGGGAGGAAAACGGGTCCGCGATGTAAGAAGTGGTGAAGGAAGTAGTCAAGGCGAGCTGTCCAGAGTGTGGAAACTGTTTATGACTATTATATTTGCCATGGAAAGGGGGGGGGACAGGTCCGTGACGTAGGGAGTGGTGAAGGAAGGAGTAAAGGCGAGTTATCTGGAGTGTAGGGTCTGTTTAGGACCAATACATTAAGGTATTTGTAATCCAATAATGGCAATAATGCTAGGGGAAGGGAGGTAAACAGGTCTGTGACGTAGGAAGTGATGAAGGAAGTAGTAAAGGCGAGTTTTTCGGAGTGTGGTAACTGTTTATGACGATTAGATTAAGGTATCTGCAATCCTAAAATGCTATGGAAAGGGAGGGAAACAGGTCCGTGATGTAGGAAGTGGTGAATGAAGTAGTAAAGGTGAGCTGTACGGAGTGTGGGAACTGTTTATGACGATTAGATTAAGGTATCTGTAATCCTAAAATGCTATGGAAAGGGAGGGAAACAGGTCGGTGACGTAGGAAGTGGTGAAGTAAAGTAGTAAAGGCGAGTTGTTCGGAGTATGGGATCTGTTTATGACCAATAGATTAAGGTATCTACAATCTTAAAATTCTATGGGAAGAGAGGGAAACAGGTCCGCGACGTAAGAAGAGGTGAAGGAAGTAGTAAGGTGAGCAGTGTGGAGAGTGGGAACTGGAAACCGTTTGTAGCAGTTAGATTGATGTATCTGCAATGCTGAAATGCTATGAGAAGGAATAGAAGCATGACCACGACATAGAAAATTGTGAAAGATGTAGTTAAGACTAGCAGTGCGGAGTGTGGTCAATGTTTGTTTAGTAAATTGAAACATAATTAACACAACTGAATTTATTGAACTCACAAATCAGACTAAACTAAAAAGTAAACAAAACGTAATAATATAAACAGTCATCTGACAGATGTTATAAATAAAACATATGGACTTATTTATTGATACATAACACTCCTCCCCCCGTTAGGTAGTCCTTCAGATATGCCGGTGGTCGACGGATACGAACAGGTCGAGGACTCATGCTCATCGAAGTGTTTTGGGAGTTTGATCTAGAGACACGTGACCGAACAGGTTGTGGACTCGTGCTAATGCTAGTGGAGTCTTGAATTAAACCAGAAACGTTGAAACCAGCATCTTCTTGATGAGGGTTAATTGAACCTTCTATACCACTAAAGGAATTGCGAGATTGTTGGATCACTGATGGTCGCATTGGTTGTACGTCTGGTGTTCTCATCATAATAGGATTGCGAACCATTGATGGTGGTTGCACTGGACAATTAGATTAGAACAGGATCTAACAACCTGAAATTAAACAAAATCAGAATAACAATAATAGAAAGGTACATTTAAGAAAGGTAGATTAAGGTTAATTAAGGATTAAGGTAGATTAGGTAGATTAGAAAGGTAATTTAAGATACATTTGCGTATTTATGTAGTGATTTTCTGTTTTTTGGGTAAAATATTCTTGTTTATATGATGTGCTTCTGGTGTTCTCATTTGAATAGGATTCTGGAGTAGTGGGTGGAATGGTGGGTTTACTGGAGATTCAGGATTATCCAAGTGTGAGTTAGTAGATGCTTTTGATGTTTCTGAGCGAGGTCTCAATTGGTCAATATGACGTCGTATTTCAATGCCTTCTTTTGTTATCAAATGGTAGCTCAGCGGCCCGGTTATTCTAGTGACTTTAGCAGGAATCCACTTTGGTCCTCGCTGATTATAGTTTCTTGCAAATACGGAGTCATTTTCTTTAAATTTCCTCTGAGGTGACTGTTGGTAATCGTGAAGCGCTTTATCCAAGATTTTCTCTTCTTTGTCACTTGAAGAATAATCTGGGTGAACTCTGTCTAAGATGGTTCTAATACGCCTTCCGAACAGCAGTTCACTCGGTGACATATTAGTAGAACAATTTGGCGTTATATGAGATGATATTAGGAACTGAGCCAATCTTTTTTGCCAATCTCCTTGAAGTATTCGTCGCAAAGAATTTTTTGTCGTTTGGACCATCCTTTCTGCCTGACCATTCGATGACGGATGGTATGGTGCAACCACGACGTGGCGAATGCCATTGCTTTCATTAAACGATCGAAATTCTTGTGAAGTGAAAGCCGACCCGTTATCAGATACTATTGTGTCTGGAACACCATGTGTTGCGAAAAGGCTTCTGAGGACCTTTATAGTTGATCTTGAATCTGTAGAAGGCACCAAAACTACTTCTAACCATTTGCTGAAAGAATCGACAACAATCAAAAACAACTTGTTTTGGAAGGGCCCAGCGAAATCTATGTGGAGACGAGACCAGGGTTGTTTCGTTTTCTCCCAGGGTAGAACTGTTGCTCTTGGAGGGTTGTGACGACTTTGTTGACATGCTTGACAAGAATTCACTATGTTTTCTATGTCTTGATCAAGTTTTGGCCACCAGAAATAGCTTCGAGCCAACGCCTTTGTTCGAACAATGCTCTCATGTCCCATGTGTAGAAGCTTCAGAGCTTGTTGCCTGAGAGTGGATGGAATGATCACCCTAGTTCCCCAAAGTAAACATTGTTTGTATTGAGAAATTGAATTTTGACGAGAAATGAAAGGCGTAAGGTTGAGATCTGAGTTATGAGTTGGCCAACCACGTTGAGTCCATAATAGTACTTTAGATAGAAGTGGATCCTTTTCTGTTTCTTTTGCTATTATATTAGCGGTGATTGGTTTAACCTCATCGGATTCAATGTATAGCACGTCATTCAAGACTTCATTTATCTCTTGATCAACAACATTGGAGGAACATGGAAGAGGACTCAAACCATCAGCATTCGGAATAGAAATCCCCGGTTTGTATACAAGATCAAAGTCATATCCATTTAAAAGGATACTCCAGCAAATCATTCGAGGTGACAGTGTGTTTGGTGTTTGTTTATCCACAGTGAAAAGACCCAGAAGTGGCTTATGATCTGTTCTAATTTCAAAATGCCTCCCATATAAGTAATTGTGGAATTTTTTAACCCCTCCAATGATGGAAAGTGCTTCCCTATCTACTTGAGCATATCTTCGTTCTGACTGACTCATTGTCCTGGAATAAAACGCAATTGGAACTTCCTTTTCCCCTCGAACCTGACTAAGCACACAACCAATACCATAAGGAGATGTATCACAAGTTAGTATAAGATGGCTGGAGGGATTGTAATGAGCCAGTATACTATCGGAAGAAAGGAGCTTCTTTGAAGCATTGAAAGCAAGTTTATGTTTTTCCTCCCACCGCCATTTAACATTTTTGTCCAATAAGCGATGTAAAGGTTCTGCAACATTGGCTTTGTTGGGTAAAAAACAGTGATAGAAATTAAGTAAACCTAAAAATGCCTGCAGTTGTTCCTTGTTAGTCGGATCAGGAGCATCTTAAATGGATTTGACTTTGTCCGGGTTAGGACGAATTCCGTCAGAGCTCACAACAAATCCCAAGAAGTCAACTGATGTAGATAACAAAGAACACTTTTCGCTTTGGAGTGTAATCCCTGCATCTCTAAAACGAGTGAATACTTGTCTTAATGTGGTAATCAATTCGTGTATTGTTCCTGCTTTAACCAAAATATCATCAAAGTAAGGGTCATTGTCCAAGCCCGAAAGCAAACCCTCAATAAAATGTTGAAATATAGATGGAGCTGAGCTAATACCGAATTGTAGTCTTTTTGGTTTAAAAGCACCCTTGTGTGTAATTAGTGTCTAAGCTAGTGCCGACTTCTCGTCAACAACCAGTTGTTGATAAGCTTGGGCTAAATCTAACTTAGCAAAATATTTCCCTTGGTTTAAGTTTGCTAAGAGCTGAGAGATTGGTGGAATAGGATACAGATGATCTTGGATAGCTTTGTTTAACGTTGCCTTATAATCACCGCAAATTCGTATTTTACCATTGCTTTTTACGGAAACAACAATTGGTGTGGCCCAATCCGATACCTGAACAGGTTCTAACACTCCCTGATTAACTAACTTATTCAGCTCTTCTTCTACTGGGGCCTGCAATGCATAAGGTAAAGGGCGCGCTCTTAAGTGAATTGGGTTATAATTCTGGTCAATTTTCAGTTCGATTGGAGGTCCTTTATAGCACCCTAAAGAATTTGAAAATACATCGGAAAATTCACTTTTCAGATGTTGAACATCCAGCTGAGCTTTACTAAGAACTTCAGATTCATGACAGTTGATGGAAAGTACTCCGTTTACTTCAATGTTAAGACTTTTTAGCCAATTACGCCCCAATAAACTATTTCTATTACCTTCAGTTATGACTAACGGAAGGAAACCATTGAACAGTAGGTTTTAAGCAATTGTATTGAACAGTGTGTGTTTATCTATTATAAACTGAACATTAGTTAGCCTACTATCAACGGTCCTCTTCCTCTAAATCAACTCTCTGCAGTGTGTTGTTGCAGTCTCTACCTTGACAATGAGCACACATTGCCGAAAAAGCTAATCCTGACCTTATGCAATTACACGATCGGGCACACTCTTTCTTGCAATCATATGGAATAAAATTCAAGAGTTTATCAGGTGCCGGTGGCAAAGTCATTAAGGTACAAGAACACCGTCTTTTTCAAGCCAACCCCATGAACATGGATCCAGATCCTTCCCAAGTCATTTCTGCACTTTATATTAAACCCGCAAGGTGTGTAAGCGTGCGGCATCCGAAGTAATTTATGTCTGATGTTAAATTACTGAAGATCTTCATAACCTACAAATAATTCAACAATAATATTTAGATTTATTTACATAGATCTATTTACAATCTCCTTCACCTTGGAAACTGGATCATAACAATTTAACGTTTGACCTATTTTAAATGAGGAAATAACTCTGGCGTTTTGACAGCAACATTGACAGATGATTTGCCGCGTATGGTTTGGCTATGCTCTGTACGATTCGGAATAGTGGTCAGCTTCAGCAATGCGTGGTGGTGGGGGGTTGTTCCTCCAGAGAAGGTCTCGTTGCAGGGTGCAGGTTGTTGACATGTTCAAGGGTGCATTCACGACGCGCCGTCAGAGATCAATGCGTGCCACACGCGTTGAATCTTGTGAGCAATATGACTGTGTCTCTGCCGCACCGCGACCGCTGGCATCGCACCGGCACCATGCTCGCATTCGCATCCGCTTCGCATCTGGCTTCACTACTAAGCCGACGATTGCCTATAAGTTGTGTATACTTTATTCAAGAATCAAGAATCAAGAATTTATTGCAACAAATTACAAAAAGAACATTTTGTATAGTTGAGGTCAATATGAGAGTAACTTAGGCTAAGAAGTCTCAGTAATCTGCAAGGATAAAATGTCCACTGGTTAGCATATTAATTAGGGCCTATAACATTCAATAACTTAGGCTACTTTAAATAATTTAAACAACAAAGTAAGTTACACAGATTTAAGGCCTACATCAGTCAGAAACTATTAAAATGTTAAAACTTATTAAAATGTTATAGAGATTTTACATTTTTACATCAAGAAACAACACAAGTATTATAACATAAGAACTAGCTAAAAAAAAGTAAAAAAAATATTATTAGTTTTTAATGCTAAACGGTTACAGGTATCACTTGTTATCACATGACCTTTTATTAACGGACACATTTCACTGCATCTAAATCAGTTTTTTGTATATCTGTATATCTTACCGTTCTCAAGCATTGCGCGTTTAAGTTTTATTCGCCCCCTCCCCCCTTTTTTTCTTTATACCGGAAGAAGCACACAGAGGACGGTGTAGGGGACTTTTAGGATATGGTCAAGGACATCATAAAGAACATCTTTTTTGAAAATTCAGCTTTATACCTCGCATTTCCGGGTTTCCTTGATTTTTTACCTAGATTGACTGGGCTATAAGGATGCTGTATCCAAGCGATCATTTAGCACGGAATGGTTACACAACTTTAACTGAACAGAGGGTGGACATATACTGGTTGTGCTAACTCTCCAAAATTAGATGCTACTTATTGTGAGCCATGTTGGTTATTTAGTAACTGTCCAGAATCAACTTCTTGCGCTACTGGGATTCGGGATTGGCAAGGCCTTAGTAAAAAATACAAAAACATGAATGTAGCAAATCACATTTAAATGCGTGCAAGGCTTATACTTTGTGGAAAAAAATAAAAACATTGTCAACCAACTCTCCGATGAACACAGGAAGTGGAAGGAGATTTTCATTAGGATAATTGGTGTAATTAGAAAGTTAGCACTGTGTTCATTTCCCTTTAGAGGCCACAGGGAAAATATTCAATCAATTGGACCTGAAAGTGGCAACTTTTTGAACATCATTGATCTACTTAGCAGATATGATTCGCTACCTAAAGCTCATTTGACCAATGGTAAAAGTAGAAATAAGTACAACATCATGATATACAAAATGAAATCATCGGTCTGCTTGCACGTTCTGTGTTAAAAACATTTTGCTAGGTTAAATAACATCTGCACCATGTTACACACTAATTTTGGACACAACCCAAGACATTTCTCATAAAGACCAATTGAGTGTAATAATTAGGTAAATAACGCTGACAGAAAAGAGCTTTGGGGAGAGCAAGCTGGAAATAAATGAATCGTTTTTAGGTTTTACAGAAATCGGTGACCAAAAGTAGGGAAGGGTTTGAAAACAAAGTTCTAGAATTCCTCGACAAACATGGAATTGATATTCAAAAGTGTCTTGGACAGGGTTATGACGATGCCTCAACCATGAGCAGAAAGAGTACTCAGGGTTGCAAACTAGAATTAAGAAGTTAATTCCAACAGCTGACTCTGTACATTGTGCAGCTCACAACCTGAACCTTGTCCTTAATGATTCAGTTTCTAACATATCTGAGGTGAGTCAGTTTTATGACATCTTTCAACAAACGTATGTCTATTTCAGTGGAAGTTTACCTTGCTGGCAAAGCCTAACACAAACTATGGAAGAGGAGTCTCTGAAACAAAGTTGAAGCTAAAAAAAGTATGCCCTACGAGGTGGGCGTCACGCCCCGATTGCCTCTTGGCAATGAAAAACGACATCCAAGCTGTTGTCAAATGCTTGACCAAAATCATTTTGTTTAGCGCAAAAAAACCCGAGGTGGATAAAGCTGTAGCGTTGAGGAAACAACTTGACTCGTTCGACTTTATTTTAATGTTGACCCTTGAAAGCAAAATTTTGAATGCAATAACATGGTCTCGCAGAGTTTGCAGCACAAGTCAGTGGATCTGGACAAAGCCTGTTACTTCTTAAACCGAGCAATGGAAACTTTACAAGACCTAAGAGCAAATTTATCAGAGTTTCTTTCAGAATCAACGCAGTTCGGCCAAAGATGCGAACAAAGATGCCAAAGATGTAATATACCTTCTGAAATTAAGACAAAGCAACAGAGAATTGTGAAGAGATTTTTTGACGAACTTGCGTCTGATTACAGAATTGACAACCCTGGAAAATCTTTTGAGATAAAAATATTTAATGCCTCGTTGGATATTGCTATTAATCAGATAAAAAATAGATTCTCAAGTTTACAAACGATAGTGGACAACTTTTCTTTTTTGAGGCCGGAAAACCTGACAAAACTTCCTGAAAACGATATCAAGGAAAAAGCAAATGTGCTCATAATTAAGTATCCTGATGACATCAATGAACAGCTAACAGGAGAAATATTATCATTCAGATCATACAAAGAAAACCACCTATGCAGGATTGAAATTGTTACAATATTTACCAATAAGTATCCGGCAGGAGACAAATTTCTAAAAATTCAAACAACTTTTGAAAGATTTCTTAGTAAAAATTCCTTTTTATTCATTACAAGAATGTGTAGAAAAAAAAAAATATTTCATTTGAATTTCCATTTATTTTTCATAATGGACATTTGCGTAGATTTAATGTTTTAACCAGGGCCGGATTTACCAATAGGCCCGGTAGGCCCGGGCCTATGGGCGCGAGCTTTCCTGGGGCGCACGGCTGAGAGTAAAATTATTTTTTTATATTTAAAAATAAAAATAAATATCATAAGTTAACATATTTTGCGAGTTAATAAAAAAAACACTGGAAAATAATATGCATTCTGATTTTGAAGTTCATTGGAAGAAATAACTGTTCGAAAATTTACTATTTTTCAAAATTACGCATCAATTTCGTTACAACATTGGTTACGGGAGTAGGCTGTAGGGACTTTGTCAAGCGCCCGAGCGGTACGCATCGTATTGCCACTGCCCTGCCACTTTGCTCTTTGCTGGCTCAGCGCTACTGATGGAAGTGGAAGATGGAAGTGGTTAGGGGCGCATGTGTGCTAGACACTGTTACCACCCTCACCTCACAAAACAAAAGTTATTAACTAATCTTTTGGTCAGTTTACAACAACCTGCAGGATTAAGTTAAAATATAACAATACGTTTTGTTGAATATAAAAAAATTAGTTTATCTTTAAAATTGACTAACGGACAAAATATTAATCTGAGTTTGCAATAGGTTTAGACAATATAGGCAGTACCGACTAGATTAACCATAACTCAAGTCGACATCCTTATCACATTGCCAATTATAAATATTTTTTTCATGTCTAGTTCATGTTGGTGACACTGGACGTTAGTTTGGCGTAATTTTGTTTTTATTATTTTAGGGTTGGTTCTATTACGTGTGTTTGAACTTAATTTCTTGTAATATAACCAGGGGACGACCTATTGTTTATGATTAAATCGTTTTATTTTGGTTTAAATAACTCAAATAACAAGAATTGTTTTCAGCTAATCCCTAAGGATGACAAATCTACTAAAGGTGTAGGCTATGTTTAATCTATGATATCTCGTACTGTATTAAGTTCATGTTTTGGAAACTGAAATTGGAATCAATAGAAATGTTTTTTTTTTCTTCAGGAATGCTCTGTGCGTTGGATTGTTTTGTTTCAGTCCCACAAACGTGAGCATTTGCCAAAAGTGTTTAAGATGGCATTTTGTTAAGGCTAAACAAGTAAATTCTTCAAAAAACTTGCAATGATAAAATTCCGACAAGGGTTGGAATGGTGTTCAAGCAATTAACATAGACCTATTATATGCATGATTTAGTTTTTAATAAAGGTTTGTAGGAAAGTAACTGTGACCAGACTAGGGGGCGGGAAAATTATTTGGGCCTAGGGGCGCCAAAATACTAAATCCGGCCCTGGTTTTAACGTGTATGAGTTGTATACAGGGTGATTGATATAAGTGTGCCAGCCGTTTTATTCGAAAACCATAAGAGATATCAAAAAAAGTTAAAAGGTAAAAGCCTTGGATTTTTTATTTTAAAAATTTTAGTCAAGTCAAAAAAATTATTTTAGCCGCCATTTTTCCAATATGGCCGCCAACTTTGATTTTTCTTATGGAACACCCTGTATTTTATGATGTATTCTGGTAGGAAATGTAATTTTAAGACGATTTTATTCTTGTGATTTTTTTCATAAACCTCACCGTTTCAAAGATAATAATGGTTTAAGTTGTGAAATTTTCAATGGATTTCTAATAAAACAGCTGGCATGCTTGCTTAGGCCTTTATCGAAATTCTTTCTCATGCAGAAATTTCAAAACTTTAACCAGTATTATCTATGAAACGGTTAGGTTTATGAAAAAAAATCACAAGAATAAAATCGTCTTAAAATCACATTTTCTACCAGAATACATCATAAAATACAGGGTGTTCCGTAAGAAAAATCAAAGTTGGCGGCCATATTGGAAAAATGGCGGCTAAAATATTTTTTTGACTTGACTACAATTTTTTAAATAAAAAATCCAAGGCACTTACCATTTAACTTTTTTTGATATCTATTATAGTTTTCGAATAAAACGGCTGGCACACTTATATCAATCACCCTGTATAGATTTTGACTCTATTCAGATACATGTATGTTTTATATACAGGGTGATCAACTCAAGGAGGCCACCATTGGGATATCGGAAACAGTAAGAATTAGAGAAAACTTTAAAGGGGGGACATTCCTTTATTTTTTGTGGCAGTTAAGAATATGATTTTATTTTTTTGAAATTCAGCCGCCATTTTCCAAAATGGCGGCCAACTTTGAAATTTCTTATGGAACACCCTAGTAAATAAGTATAAATAAGTCAAAGAAGTCTTAATATTGCATCCACATACCAAAAAGACCATAAAATTTGTTAAAACTATTAATTCTATTATTTCCAAAATGGCGGCCATTTTCCAAAATGGCGGCCATTTTCCAAAATGGCGGCAAACTTGAAAAGTGGAAAAATGTGTATTTTATGGTCTTTTTGGTCTGTGGATGCAATATTAAGACTTCTTTGACTTATTTACACTTCGCATTTTTGCTATAAACCTACTTGTTTAGGAGCTACATGATGTAAAATGTACACCGGAAGTCATTTTTCCATAGGCTGTAACTCCTAAACGAGTGGGTTTATCGAAAAAATGTCAAGAATAAAAAAGTTTTTAAATTGCCTGTTCTATCCGAAAACATGATAAAATATAGGGTGTTCCATAAGAAATTTCAAAGTTGGCCGCCATTTTGGAAAATGGCGGCTGAATTTCGAAAAAATAAAATCATATTTTTAACTGCCACAAAAAATAAAGGAATGTCCCCCATTTAAAGTTTTCTCTAATTCTTACTGTTTCCGATATCCCAATGGTGGCCTCCTTGAGTTGATCACCCTGTATGTTATATAGGTATTGAATAAAGACTATTTGAATCTTGAATCTTGAAATCAGATATTGTTATAGCAGATTTAAAAGTATTTTTCCGGCTTAAGCCTATGCGGAAAAATAAAATATATTTCTTTATAATTTGCATCTGTATATTGTATTGTTTAACTTCTGGAAATAAATGATTTGACTGTAGACATCAACAGCCTTCTGCGACTGGAACAAGGATCTCCGACATTGGCCATTAACCGGCTAAGAGAAGAAATCACCGATTAGCGGCCTTGTCCGCCGTTCGGAATATCTGGTCCCGCCAGCTAAGCTTAGAGTCCACCAAGACACCAATATACTTGGCGGCACGGACGGTTTGGACTTCGACGTGCCCCACCCTCAACGGCACAATGGTGTCAATCCGCTTTTTGTTCAGAATGAGGATCTCAGTTTTGTTCAGCGGGATTGAGAGACCGTGATCTGCCATGCGTTTATACTTCGCATGACTCGGTTTAATTTTAGCTGGGCCAGCTCAACACCACAAGCAGCTATTAAAGCTGCAATGTCATCTGCGTACCCATCTAAAACGGTTTCCTCAGGCATTTCTTAAAAACTGCCTGATTTTCTGCATAACCTCCCTCTGTCACAATTTTATTTGCTTCAATCATCGGCATTAATTTGGCTAGTTATAACGGAAGTTATATTTAACTGAAAAATGCAGAAATGGAAGGCCTAATGTTGTTCAGATGTGGTTTTGTTCCCTTGAATGTGAATAATGTGAATCCTTCAATGAAAGTTGTATTAAGGTTTGTTTGATGTAGTCATATTATTTTTAAATCACTTAATTGACTTTTATGAAAACATATAGGTACCGGTATTTAATGTCCTTGCCGTAACAGTTTAATTTGGCCTTAGAGGGGTTTTCTTTGCCAATCATCATAAAGTTAAGTCTGTGTTTCCTACAAAATAGTAGCACTTCGGCTAACATCCTTGTTAATTTTTGTGGGAATTTTCATATTGTAGGTGTTCTAAGTATATAGGATGATAGCGATAGTAATTTTTTATTTAATCTCTATTTCTTCCACTTGGTGGCGTTCTATTACTTTCCTATGTTTCCATGGTTAACAAATAGGACTTTTTCAAAAATATAAGGCCAGTTGGCAAATCTACGTGACACGCTCTTTCCAATTAGACGTCAATGGATAAAATCGGTTAAGAAATGGCGGAGGAGTTCAACCAACATACTTCGTGTCGTTTATTAATTATATAGATTACTGCTGCATTTAAGAGGATGCAAATCTGATTAATATATGGGGTTTTATGATGAAATTGTGTTAAAACCAGTAAGAGCTCTAGGACTAGTTTACTGACACTTTGACGATCAATAGAAATTCTCTACAATTTAGGTAAAAAAACATCGTCTGCAGTCACGCAGGTTGCATCAACTGTCCTCGCGGCATGAGTGAAGGTGCCAGAAAAAGGCGAAATAATATGATATTCTATACGAAATATCTCTACGAAAATACCTGTGAGATAATGTTTTTAAAGATTATTAGGATAGGGGGGCGGGCCGGCGAACTAACTCCGTGGTGGGGGGGGGGCGCACGGGTTCTCATCGCCACCACTGCTTATACTCATACTGGGGGCCCCATATTGGCAAATTTTCCCTGGGCCTCTGAAGCCCTAAGTCCGGGCCTGTTCCAAGAATACACCTATTCAAGGTAGGTTCAAATGTGAGTGTACTCAATAACTTATCCCTGGGCCACAATAAACGTTATAACATCCCCCACATGCTGTGGCTGAAACGGCTACAGTATAAACATATACTTTGAATGTCTCTTTTTTATGGGAATATTATTCAGTAAGTAAAGTTTACATTTAGCTTCCTATCTCATATAATATAATCATATTGATAATACTAAAGAAAACTGAATTGATAATATAATAATAATAAACTAATACATCCTACTATAGACCTAACATTCAACTGATGTAACAGTACTTACCTAAATTTACATTATATTGACATTTTATTGTTATGTTTTGGGAAATTTGCAAAGTACTGATACCCAATCCCTTGTATCAAAAGATTTCAAATTTAATTAAAATGTTGAAATCAGTACTGAGTTCAGTAAGGTTCAATTAAAGAGTTCTCTATTTTCTAATAGTTTAATTACTATGGTAAAAGAGAATCAGTTTATCTGTTACATAGGACTGTAAAATTAGAAGTATGAATTGGATGATATCAAAATAAAACTGATATTGTTTTAAAATGTTGAAATTATTTGTATTTCATTATTGAGGAAATTCAAGCGGGCTTGTACATTCAATGTCAGGAACGTAGTATACAGTTTTCTTGAAGCTCTCATATTCACAGTAGTAGGTATATCCCTTGGATAAGACTTTCAGCTCGGGCCAACCACGAACATCTATAGCATTGCAGATTGGAGTAGGCTCTGTTTTTAGATAGACATTGTTGTGTCCAACAGCAACCGTGCATGACTCACCATGTTGCACAAGTTTCCAGTAAACCTGCAAAACATCAACTATTTTACACCTGGTCAAGTTTTTCAAAATTCTCATCACCATTGTTGTATCAATTAATCTGGGTTTCCTTATTTAGAATTTTATCTGAAAAAATAAAAATCATAAAAAAATGTATCAATAATTTTATTTTGTATCTTGATTCCAAGCATGTTTATGTACTTGCATTGACTGTTGAATCAGTGTTTAAGAGCTATCAATCTACAAAATATTGATACAGTTAGTACAGTTATCTTTTTTGTGGGCACTAAAAGCAATAAAAGCCAAATTTCTTTTAAGGAAGCCAAATCATGACATTTTAGTGCTGGTGACAAAACATTACTAAAAGAACACTTTTGGTCAACATTTAAAATAGAAGGACCTTTTATTAGCAATTCTAACAACTGGCTTAAATTCGTCCATGTAAAAGAAACTAACTAACTTTTAATTGAATCAGAGTTAACACGTTTGCTACCGCAACAGCACTAAATTTTTCATTTAAAAGGACCAGCGACGCACATATACCACAACCGCTTTCTACACATGGTCACATTAAAATACTACAGAGATGTCTGTCACATATATGCGTCATTGGTCTGTGGATATGATGATTAGTGACGTCATATGATAGTTGGCAAAACTGTCATATGATAGTTGGCTTTGCTGTATCACTGGCCCGTGGTCTGCTTGTATAGGTACTGTGAACCAAAAGTGACACCCGGCCTAGAATTGTGATATTAAAATGTATACCTCAGTCCGTGACGCCTGAAAATGACCGTAGTGTCGCATATATGAGGCGACCGGTATCAAACGTGTTAAACAAATAAAAAATATTGTGAGTTATAGTATTGTAAATGATAAGTTTATACCTCAGGCACTGGCAAATAATTTCCTTGATCTACATCTTCAGGCTCTTCATTTGGCTTAGGTTTGCTGTTCTTCCTTTGGGGTTTAGGTTTCCTGGCTTCCTTGGGATCCAAGTAAATCTCCTTTTCTTCTCCTCGTTTGTTCTCCAGTTTGAGTACACCGTATGTACCTGTCCACACCTTCAAAGAGGCTTGTACCTACCAATAAAATATTTAGGCTTTTACATCGAGCTTTTCATTGTTTTAATCTAATACATATAACATTTGGAAAAATAATTTTGTAATCACCCCAAGCAAATAAATTGACAATGCAATTTGTTGTCAAACCCCAAAGATGTATGATCAAATTAATTTTGATAGGGATAAGTATGAACAATCAAAACTGAAACTCTTGCCTAGAACGAATTGTGGTAATTTGTGGCCTATGATAATGATAATATTTCTAATTGTGGGGGTCAACCTACATTGGAATCTTCTATGCTAGTTATTGCATGTGTTTGCAGAAGAGTGTTAAGCAATTTGCCTAAGTGGTTTAAGGAGTTCGGAGAAGGTCATACACAGTTGCACATGAGACTGGACGTGGTTGCGTCTATCATTTGTTATAGACAGATATGGAAGTTAAAGAAACTTTGCCAGCAGATCAACATGTTTAAGAATTGAAAGAGTCCATCGTTATCTATGACAGTGTTAAAGCCTCTATGAGGCTGAAACAAAACTAATATAACGCACATGAGCCTCATCAAGCAAATGTTGACAAACTTTCTACAAAATCCTGCAACCCCTTGCACATATATGTTATTTGCATCCAAAATCTCTTTATATAGGTAACATTTAAGGTTTAACAAGTACCTAGGTTTTCTGCTACAGGGAGGCTATTAATGTGGGTTTTTAGTAAACTAATAATAGCTTAGGCTTAGTATACAATAAATAAATTTGCCAAGTTTCGTCAAAATATATCCATTAACAAGCAAACTGTAACATTATAAAACATATTCTCCATAAGAATAACATGGGAATTTTGAATTTACAACTTTTTGAATGTTCCCCATAATAATTGTACAAAAACACTTCGATATACCTACCAAATTTTTTTAAGCTCTTTAAAATGATAAAATGGAAAATTTAGTGTTTTGAGGGTCAAAAATTATAAAAATCTATTTTTACCCCATAATTACATTATTTTTGTAGCCCTGTTGTAATTACAAAACATTAAAAAAGAATCTTTATCCATTTTTCATGACATAATGATAATACATGTAACACAATCGTATTACCTTGACTGCTAAACTCCTGACAGTGCTCTCGACTTGAAGCCAGTTGCCAGCGTTGAAGGGTTGCCACTGAGGCGCGACATTGATGAAGTAGTATGTCATTTGCTGGCCTGTGTTGAAGATGAAGTCAGCATCAGGGGCCAGATGACCTCTGGCCAAGAACACCGTTTCATTCACATACCTCTTGCCTTCACCTTTCCCCAGGATAGCATCAATGGCTATCGTTTGACTTGACTAATAATCAATATTACATTTTATGATTAGAATAGCACATATTGTGAAAAAAACGTTCCTATTAACTACCATTGACAACTGTATTTAATTGTCAAAAAGCATTGCTGTGAATATCTTTGTCATTTCTTCTAAATAGCAATGACTTTATGTCTATTTAAAGCTGGATGTGAATGCAGAGTGAGTGTAGGATGGGAAGTAGATGTCTATAAGAAGCTATCATTACCAACATTATATGCAGTTCCATAACTCATTATTCTGTGAAGGAGAACCTGTCCCTGTCCTATTCCTTCAGTTGGTAATGCTGACATTCCTGATGTGGTATGCTATTTCTCATTGACTAGCTGCTGTACCCGTGCTTAGCAAGAGAAAATACCGACACTGAAGAGATAAATTTGTACTTTAAATCTGTTATATAAAAAAATTACACATACGTCATTGGTTTGAGAAACAAAATTCAATTGGACCTCTTTGTTTGATAAAAATATTTGTTTAAAGCTAGGCTAGCATGTAAGGCTACCTAATACAAATTACATGAGGCGCTAATGCAGGTACAAAAATATACTCTACCAATATAATTTAAATTTTAATGATAAGCTTACTTAAAAGTTTATTTTGTTGGAAAAAACACACAAACACCATCTCAGTTTCATATTAGTAGGCTATAGAGTATAGATTGCCATCCAAGAATCTGCTCACATGGTTGACCGCAAATCACAAGCAATATATCCACTGCAGAGACCCTGCAGACTAAGAGAATTACTACCTGGCTAGATTTCCACTAAAATATTTCTTTAAAATTGTTGGCTTATATTAATAACATTTATTTAAATATTAATAGGCAATTAAGCATGTTTCTTCAAAACCTTTTCTATCAGCTCATGTACATCGCAGGGAAAATCTACGCATATTGTTGGAAAGATATTTTCCTTTAGATGTGCAGAATCCCGTTTTAAATTAAAAACAGGTTCAAAAACAAGCACAAAATTTAGTTTTAAATAAAAAAAATTACATTTCGGCCTTATGGGTTGTCATGCTATGCTGGTGACAAAATAACAACGAAATATAAACAGAAAATCGAAACAAATTAAAGAAATTCCAATCACATGTTTTATTTACAGTGTGGAGTGAAAATAGAGAAGTCTGTATATTTCATATTTTTGATTTTGGTCGAGTTTTCAACCACTGGACGACCCCTAGTTTTAATTATTACATAGGTTTTCTGCTACAGGGAAGTTAATGAGGTGTATTTTACATTGAAACGTTGATAGCTTAGTATATAATAAACAAATGTGATTAAAATAAATATCAAGCAAACTACAACAGTTTATTTATTCTCCATAATAATAACATGGGAATTTTAAATTTACAATTTTTCTGAATTTTGCTCCATAACTTTTAGACATACAACAGCGCTTTAATATGTAAAATCATTTCTCTTTTGAGCTATGAAAATTAGTTTGAAGGGAATTTGCCAAATAATATGTTTTAAGGTAAAAATAAACTCATAAAAAACTCATAAAACCCCCCTTAAACCCCTGTTTTCCTAGTCCAATCATGTTGGTTCGCGAACTCGTTGGAATAAAATGTAGGTTTATACGTTTGTACATTTCATCAAAATCGACGCTAACGGATAAATTAGATTAATTTATGAATTTTAATGTACGCATTATGCTTTTGGCCTCTGGGAACCGCAAAATGGAAAAGTAAATCGGTCTTACCATGAAACCTATGGTAATAGCTTCATCCCTATATGGGAAATTCACTAAAAAGCAAAGGTTGTACGTACAACAATAATCAAACAAGGAATAAAATGTGACAATCAATGCATATCACAAAATGGGGCGCTCTTCCACTCCATTAAAATAACATCTGATGATACAAATCTCATGTTGTTTCCTATTAACAATAGCCACTCTCCCTTCTCCACAATCCACATACAGTGTACAGCGCTCCACCATGTGGATGTAGGGATGTAGGTACAGAGTAAGTAAATCAAAAACTGATTTATTTTGGTGTTATAATTACCTACTCAAATCTCTAGGTAAATTAGGTGGAATGGGGACTAAAAACATTAACCTAAAAATATCTTCCAAGGTTTTATCTGAAGCTCTAAAGTTATAGGTATCTTGTGCTTTGATAAAGATGTTTAAAACTCTCTTCATGTACACGTTGAACAATAAATACACTGTTATAAATGTGTGCTATATGACTATTCATCTTAAAATATTAATAACCAAGTACAGTAACTTACTTTAGAATATGCTTTATCGGCGTTTATTCCAGAGAACAAATGCAATTTTTTTGGTCCTTCAGAAAATGGCCTGCGTAGTTTAGACTGCACTGCTCCTTTTAGAGATTCCCCATGAAGTTCATGGTGAGCGTAGTATGATTCCATTTTTTGAATGTTGTGGCACACATCCACCAATGGAAACAATGTATTTTGCTCATCATCATTTAGCTAAAATCATAACAATATGTGTTAAGGTCAGACTGTGAAATAAAACTCATTATTAGGTTAACAAAATGTCAATGTAGCCTACTTGTACACACAAATTTTCTATATTTTGTAGTAGGTAGTAAAATTTCATACTAATAATTTTCCATAAAACTACATGTTTTTACATTCATGCGTTTAGCCATTTTACAAACTTTAATTGGAGGCTGAAAACTACTTTGCTGTCCATGCCAGCTGTCATCGGAATTTGGGGACCCTAGGGCTGAAAATCAGCTGTTCCCTTTTTTACTTTAAACATGAATGCATATTTAATACACAAGCTGTATCTATATGCATAGCAATAGACTTGTTTTATTGTCAGCCGCTTAGCAGCTATTTATTAATTTTTTTACTGATTCCTCTAAATACTTCTTCACATAACCTTTAAGTTTTAGTTTAGTTGACTGTTAGTGTGCATATTGCATATATTATTTTTTTTCAATATGGTATAGTGTGGTGAAAAATAGCATTCGTACCATGCATGGGCCAAAAGGGTTTTGCCGGCTTATGAGATAATTTTTTAAGTTTGAGACAAAGCCGAGAACTTAAAACGGTCAAGAGCTGCAAAACCTCATTTTGGGCCCTACGTGCAAAATATACCATTTTATTCAGACAAGACTAATCCATTGCTGGAACAGAGCATTTAATCTTTATGTGTTTTGCAAAACATATGACATTTTTTTCTGATACAGTAGAACCTTGATAACAAGACTCTCATGGGGATTGTAAAATAAGACTTGTTATCAGGTTGACTTGTTATCGAGGTTTGTAATAAAATGTGATTAAGGGTAATATAATTTTAAGGGGATTTGAAAATGACACTTGTTATCAAGGGTGCCTTGTTATCGAGGGTCTTCTTATCAAGGTTCCACTATAGGCCTATGTTTCAAGTAAAGCGGGATTTTCTTATTTTCTGCAATTTATTAGATAAGATATTGACAAACGATTAACGATTAACACATTTCTTTATTAAATCACTAAATGAGTAGAATGGTTATTTATAACAATGGTAAAAAAATTTAAAATATAATATATATAATAGTTTATACTGTATAGAAAAATTATTATATTTGGAAATAGTGGTTCTTCATAGTCTTATTTTTGGAAATGGTGGTCATTGGTTCAAATGTACTATGATGATACTGAAAAGGGGCAAACAGGTGATATTATGAGGAAGAATAAACTGTAGGAGGGGAAGGAAGCACTGTCTTTGTGGAGAGAAACAGCTGATCTTAGTCAGTAACCAAGCTACACAAGGCATCTCATTTCATTTCTACTGTACATTAATCTTTCACTCACTTGGGAGGTGTGCAGCCTTGCTATGTCATGATGAAGAAGGATCTTTTTCTTTTTTAAATGGCTACTTATTGCCTTAACTTCAGCGGTCAACCGGCTTAATAATGAGGAATATAACTTTCCAGTTATTGTTTGTCCCTCTGCCAGGTATTCAAAAGTAAATTATTCCATGAACATCCCAAAAACAGTTGCCATCATCTTGCCAGCAGATCTCACTGTCTTTGCCTATTTTCGGTGCTTATTTCCTCAATTAACCCCACTGCTTGGACTGTTCCTTTGTCACCGGAGCGTAGTCCTGAATCCATGTTTCATCTACAGTTATGTAGACTTACAGATGAAGAAACTCATCAGACAGAACAGCGCCAGAAAAGGATTTGAATCAGAATTAACCACACGGTTACACTTATTCTTCATATTGACCATATTGTGGATTTTGTCCATCATTTCAGGGGTATAGTCATTTCCACTGGCCATCCTGAACGGGGTTCATCTTGCGTCGATGTACTCCCATATAAACTCGGTTAACCTTGCCTTGAGTCTCTCGTGTGACCTGTGTAAATGGACTCATTTACCCAGTTGTGAATAATACAGAGTAGCAGATGTGCCATTAGCTTGGTCCAATTTCAGCTTTGATCTCCTTGGGTTTTAAACCTTTCAAATGTAAATGACTTATAACCGCTCAGAATTTACTTTTTTCCATTTTTCAAAATTCAATGAGGTCTGTTTACAAAATCAACAATATAAAAATTAATCAGCTTATGAATTTGGCATAAGATTTGTCAGCTATTTATAAGAGTAGTGAAATCAGGGCCGGATAGAGGATGGGGCAGGGGAGTCCAGAGCCCCAGGGGTGTGGGCTCTGAAGGGGTCCCGGCCGGTACATGTAATATGCTAAAGTCAAACATTTTAGTATGGTTTTCCAGTCCACTTTTTTTACTTAAATTGTTTAGTTAAATTCTTGACTTAAATAAAGTTGCATACCTGTGAGCATAAGAATTACTCAAACTATCAAGCATTGTTTTGTTATGTTGCTCTTTAAGATCAACTAGAGTGTAGATGTATTGTTATTTGTAAAAAAAACTGCACAGAGGTTGCTGGACACTAAATCAGGAAAATAGTGGACCGAGAACGCTCAGCCAAAGGGCCCGTGACGGCCCTGAGTGAAGTTGGCTGTAAACATACCATTTTCAATTCTATGAGTGATGTTTATAATATATTTTTCTAAGGACTTATTGAACCTCCCTCGTATCTTATATCTGAAGAAGATAATTGTAATTTAATCCCAAATTGTCAAATATTGTAGACTAATTAACTTGTCACTTTCAAGTAAAATTTAAAATACTTATAGCACAATATTAGTTTATTAAAAATGTGTTATCTTCTGAGGGTAACAAAGAATTCAATTGATGCAATTTTTCCAGGATGATAGATTGTTTCCTTTTACCAGAAGTTTTGTACTTTAATTTTTGGAAATTAATTGGCCGGTCCGGGCCCACTTATCACTGTGCTAAAAGCAATGGATGTGGCAAATGGGCATACGTGGTGACTTGGACAAACTACCAAGCTCATTGCAAGCGTTCCCTTGTGCCCAAACAGAATTAATTAATTGCATTAAGAACGGTCTTATGAAATCTATATTCTTATTTTCTTTTACTCGATAGCCACAAAGTACAATTTACCTTGAATCCCAATTCCAACTTGGTCCCCTTGCTGTTTCCTTTCCCACAAATTTCCTCAGTTTTTTCAATCCAGGATCTGGACACATCTTTGTGGCAAGACAAGGTATCTTCATCGGCTGGCTGTCCTTGTATGGTCAGTTGGCCATTTGAGCATTTCACATAATCTGTTTCTGTTTGGGAAATCTCTAGCTGATTGTCTTCTCCCATGCATGCTACCATGAGTTCCTTGCCATCAGAAACTCGGATAACACCTTGATAGGTCTTGTCATCAACTTTAATCACCTGAAAATTATTTACATTGCGCATTATTAATGTCACAAATCCATTTAAATGGTAAATGCAAGCCTAGATAATACTTTATTACCTAACTCTTTTCCATCCTGGTGATTTAATAATTCAAATGTTTATCAACTGTAGGTTTATTCATCAATAAATATGAACATATACTGTTGTATACCTAAAAAGTATATGCCTACTTCTTGTGATTATAAAGATAGAAAAATTAAATTCAAACATGTTCATCTTTTGCGATGGGTAGTAAAAACTTTACTGTTTTCAAACTGCTTCAAACAGTCATCTTATGGCTGCCTAACATTATACATAGGTCCCTCTACTTTATACTATAGCTAATGTGGCATCAAGACATAATATGATCAAAGCGTAATGAGGCACACACGCCTTGTCTGGATAACTAAACCAAACACCACTCTGCTTGTCATGACTCACACTCTAGAGCAAATACTTCACTATAAAGTAAGCATTCTCACTATGGTGGCTGGTGGCTATGAGCCTCTTCTAGGACAAAAGGCCAAAAAAGAGATTGTTTGGAAGACATCATCCTCCGTGCAGTGTATGCACATACTGACATTTCTCATACTTTTGAAATAGGCCTACTTTCTGAAGTGAATACTGTATGACACAGAACTGACACATGTAGGTGCCTACAAATCAATCCCTCATAGGCCTCACTAGGTCGCCAAGAAGTCTTACATTCCTCAGATCCTTCACCCCCCTCATCTCATTCGTTAATGCTACAAACCCTACAAACGATGTAAAGACTGGTTTTGGTTAACACACATACTGGTGCGCTGCATGGGAACTGTTTTCGGCCCAGCTCATTGCACAACTGGCAGAACCCAGCACTGTCAATACTCTATTCATTACAAAACACATAAATGTGGTTATTTGTCTAGTAGATGTAAATCAACTCGAAATTTAGGTAGTACATTTCAAGCATTAATTATCATTCAAAAGTAGGGAAGGGAGTGGAGGCGGACCACGCATCCTACACTCTGATTTAGCAATACAACAACTAACCATTGGTCACGCTATCACAACAAGACCAGAAATGGTAGTATAAACGTAGGCGATTGTATTGTATAAACACTACTGTATGCTTACCGTCATTATGAGGGGTTTTAGCGTTTAAAGTAAACAGTACCGCCCAGACAGCACACTTTATCCCAGGGACATCCCATAGTAGTCCCATATGTCCTAAGAATGTCTCGGGATATGTGCGCTATCCTCAGGATATCCCGCAAAATCCCGGGACGAGTACGAAATCCACAGGATATCCTACAATATACCGTAATGTCCCGGGATTTGTAAGTTAACCTCAGGATATCCTGTAAAGTCCCGGGATATGTACGAATGCCATAGGATATCCCAGAATGTCCCATGACATCCCGGGACATGTAAAAAATCCACTGGATATCCTGTAATGTCTCGTAATGTCCCGGTAACAAACTGAAAAAAAAATACTACCACTGATGAAATGTACAGTATATCTAAATTTAAATGTTCAACAAGGCCAATATATAATAATTTGTTTTTTTCACTAGTGCTTTCAGAATCTTGGTTTCCATCTTCAGGCTGTGTTTACACTAGTACAGAAAGTAAATATTTACTTAATAAATTAATTTTAAACAAAGTTAAAACAGATGATTTAAAGGATATTGGAAAAATAAAAAATAATATTAGAAAAATTAATCTTTTGAATTTTGGATATGTTACAGTGTTGTTCTTAATGTAATTATTTTCAGTAATTCCGAATTTATAATTGGGCCGTCTTCATTATTTAACAAATAATTTTGGTCTGTTTTTTTTTTCTAAAAATAAGATTCCCACGCATTAAGATGTTGAGGTTTTATAATTTATTTTAAAAGTTTAAGGTTTCCCAGATTGAAAATATGTCTTGTTAATACTATGGCTAGCAAGGGTTGACTTTACTTTACTGACATATTACTACCACTGAGTTCAGGAAAACTAGAGTTCTATCATAGTTGTGTGAAATGTGAATTTAATTCTAACTTTAAATTAATAAAACAACAAAAAACTAATTTTAATCATATAACAATCAATTATTACAGTGCCTAATCTAATGGTGATTAAATAATCTATATTCAAATACCAGTATCCTCTCCAACTACCAGAAAAACAATTCAACTACTTGAGGCCTAAACAGATTAACAGAATCATATATAGTCTATACTGTAGTATCAAAAATATTTAAGTATTGCGACCATTGCAACTGTCGGCTACTCTTTAACCACTTGAAAACACCCATAATCAACAAGCGCAGATAGCTCAGGAGGTAAGGTAAGAGGCTCACAAGGCGAAGGTACCAGTTTCAAAACCCGTCTGGTCCATAAACTTTTTTCTCGTTTTTTTCTTCAAAATTTGTGTTTATTAACTATTTAATCAATTTACTAACCTTATAATTAAGCTTTTCATACTAAATCTATATTATTTTGTGTTTTTTATGTTCAGGCCCAGACCGCACTTTATCCCAGGGACATCCCATAGTAGTCCCATATGTCCTGAGAATGTCCTAAGGACTACCCTGGGATGACCTCGGATGTCCCACGGATATGCGTGTGAGCTTATCCGTAGGACATCCCCGGGCGGGGACATTACGCATTCCTGTGGATATCCTGTGATATCCCAAGTTGACCATAGGACCACTATGGGATATCTTGCATATCCTGTCGCAATATCCGTGGGATGTCCTGAGGAGAAAGTGTGCTGTCTGGGCGGGGGACCGAGTCATGGCTCGGTATGTTTATTTCGATTGTAAGAGCAATACTGTATAAAGGAAACTCACGTTTTCTTTATAACTAATTTCGGCTTTTATTATTTAAGTTTCAGTGGTATTTAAAATTTTATGATAGAAATTTTTACTTGGCAATCCAACAAATTAATTTGTTTAAATCTCACATATTTCTTGCAATGTAAATAAATAAAAACAAATGTTTTAAAAAGAAGTATTTTTTTAGTTCCTATTGTAGGTTAACAAGGTTAATACAGTAGCAATCAGCTACAGCATTAATACAGCGTATTAAAAGGAGTGTGATTACCGGTTCAAAATGTTCAACGCATTTTAAATAAACGACGGAATAAATATATCTTTCAATGTACAGAAATCTCATCAATATTACAAACATCAAGCTAAAGTAGGTAATTTGATGGTGATATGTTTGGTCATTAACCTTGATGATAATACATGTTAGGTACTGCCTGACGAATCCATCCGCAGCATTATATAGATAAAAGATTATTGTGTTTGTTTGTTTCCAAATTACACGAATACTGCATTAGCCGGATTCTAAATCATTTTAAAGGGCAAGATCACAGACAAGATAAGTAATCTTTCTGCGGTAAGATGTTTATTCCCGTTTACACTAATCAACTGAGGATACACTCTTAGTTTTTTCTGCAAAAATAAAAATAAATAAGGAACATGTGATTATAAACCTAACAGCTTTACAAAATAAATATAGAAGTTTGTTCATCTTAGTCCAGCATCTATAGTAACCCAGTAACTTAAGTTAAAAATCAAGGCCAACAAAGACATGAAAGGCCCCGTTTATGCACCAAGAGCGGGAGCGGTAGCGGTTGGTTAAAGGAGAATGGAAGGGGGACACAGTCTTTCCAACTCAAACTCTGCCAAATAATTAACTCAACTATTTGTCCTAAGTGCACGTGCGCGTGGGTCAAGTTGGCATCCCTGGCTGCAACCGCTCCCGCTCCCGCCGTGCATAAACAGTCCCAGCATTTGACTCAATGTAGTTGAAAACCGCTCTATCCTAAGCAACCGCTGCGATTTCTAACTACACAGCGGGCGAATTAGAAACCGCAGCGGGAGGTCAACCGCTATCGCTATCGCTCTTGGTGCATAAACAGCCCCATATAACTCAATGGTGTTAGAAATCGCTCCCGCTCTTGGTGCATAAACGGGGCCAAAGGTGTAAAGCAGATTTTTTGCATGGTGATAGTATATATAATAGGAAGGGTGTTTTCTGAAAGTTCCCCGAATTCCCCCCCTTGCTTCCCCTTAAACCCCCCCCCTCCCCCCAAACACCAGGTTGAAAGTGTAGTGTTTTACTAAATCACCTATATATTTTTATGTAAACGAGCTATCAGCATAATTGCTTTTTCTTTGATTAAGCTTATCAACTTGCCTGTATTCCATCTCTGACTATTACCGTATATTGATTACGTTTTATCTTATTTGTAAATTACTCCACCACTCAAATCAAATGGATGATTTAAAAATAATAATCTGAACAACGAATTCCAGTACATTATCATACAACAGTTGTTATAAACCTACAGTCTGTGGTGTAATTGGTCTCCCCCAGGAAGGGTAAAGATGATGACGCAAACCACCTGAATGTCTCCAGTCGAGGGCGTCTGAAGGGAGGAGCGTTTTAATTTAATTTTATTTATATTTTATTTATATTTTATTTTATTTTATTTTAATTTTATTTTGTTATTTTATCAAGCTACTTAATAAAATAACCCTAAATGTAGCACTATCTCTTTTAGATGGGTTTATATCTGTAATATAACAAAAAATATAATTTTTTACACAAAATTGTAGATTAGGTCAAACCCTGGTTTTGCAGTAGGTAGTACGTCAATGTGTTTGAAAAAAAAATGTTTGCCTATTTTATGAGCTTTCCAAAAATGTGTAACAATATATATTATAATTTAAGTTGTTACCGAATGAAGCCCACTTAGCGCATCGTTCCAAATTGTCCAGTAAATATTATAGTCCAGTAAAAATGTCATGGAAATAGGGGGTTGCTGTGCAAAAGGTCGGGTAGTTTTGATTTTTGGATATGCTGTTTGGGCACATAACATAAATCCAAGTTATCCACCTCGAGGTACCGGGGCGCGCCACTTGTTAACGAAATAGCATAAATTTGACCATTCCTTTTGTTTTCTTGATCTATCTCGCGAACGGTTGGGTTTACTGAAAGCATTGCTTTATTAAATTAAAAGGGGATACATTTGTGACAGTTTAAGCCCAACTCCAAGCATATAGCGTAAATAATGGTCGAAATACAGACCTTCAAAATAAACAAATCTTCCAAAGATGTATAAAAATAGAGATTTTTTCAATATTACAATAACAAATATAGTTGTTTGTTCACCGCAAGCGAATTTTTATGTGCCTGATTTGATTTTCGCAAACCTATTTAAATAACATTAGGTTTAACGAGTACTCAGGTGTGCTACAGGGAAGGTGAACAAGTATATTTTTTTTACTAAAATAATAATATAATGGTAAAAAACAATTAAATTTACCAAATCTTTTAAAAAGTGTATTCATAAACAGGGTAATTACTTAACAATATTCTCTATAATAATAGCATGTGGATTTTCAATTAGATTTTTTTTTAAATTTCTCCGTAACCAATAACTGTAAAAAACATTCCAATGTACTATATTATTTGTAAAAAAAAAATTGTTTGATGGGAGTTAAATAGGTAGATAAACGGTATTTTGACTTTAAGTTTGTAATTTCAAATAAAATGTTAAATAACGCAATTATTATCGTTGATATGGGATTGTTCATTGTAAAATTTTTAAAGCAGATGCGGTTTGTAATACAATGCCGTTCAAAACATGTCTCAAGCGTGTCTAGTTCACGATATATGAGCGATGTTCTAGAACTCGCCTCAGCGCTACTTCCCCCCCTCCCACCAAGTTGTGCACCTGCTGGAAGGGCGACAACACCGACAACATCGGGTTTTGCCATCTCCAAGATGACGCAAACAACAATCAAAAGTCAAAATGCGTACACTTTCAGTACATACCCAATTTTTACAAGTCTGTACTACACGTTGATTTCTACCGCGCAGCGGCGTCACCCGCGCCCCCGTGCCGCTTCATCGGAAACCTCATAACCATGTAATATTTCGATATAATTACCATATAAAGTGACTTTACTGTGTTAAACATATTATCCACGATGAAAAACTGCACTGTTTGTTGTTTTAAAGGGGTTTTAATGGATAGTTTAACGTTATTTACGATTTTTAATTATTTTTTTAAATAAATTGTTAAATAACTCAATTAATATCATAGATACGGGACTTTTCCCAAATGTTTTTTTAAAGCATATGAAGTTGGTAATACAATGCCGTTATGTTTCTATCGTGTCTAGTTCACGAGATATACAAACTCCCCTATAAAAAACCATTAATGAATTATTTTCCAACACTTGTTAATATTATAAAAATGTTGTTTTGTACCAACAACAAAATAAATTACAAGGAATGCCAATATAACATGATGGTTTTTGATTTTGGTTTTTTGATGGACTTTGATGGTTTTACGGTGTTTTAGTTTATGTCTAGTGTAGTGGTTGTTAGGTTTAGTCTAAGCGATTTTCTAGAACGCGTCTCAGAGCACCTCCCCCCCCCCCCCTAAGTCGTGCACCTGCTGGGAGGGCGACAACATCGGTTTTTATCATCTCCAAGATGCCCCCAACAACAATCAAAAGTCAAAAAGAGTTACAGTACACTTTCAGTGCATACTCAACCCCCTATAGATGCTGGACTATCTTGTCTGCGATAAGATGTTTATTCCCTTTTACAAAAATCAACTGAGAACGCACTCTTAGTTTTCTAAAAAAATGAAAAGAAATAAGGTGTTTGTGATAGACAGCTTTACAAATGTAGAAGTTTGTCAGTAGGTATACAAAATCAATCTTATTCTACCTTAAACCACAGACTAAAAAGAGTCAGTTATAACTATAATTACAACAATAGCCTACAGAGCAATTATGATAGCCCTGCTATAACTGTATACTGTAATTACATTTTGTCCCTAGTGCGAATAGCCTATAAGGACTTAAACTCAGAACTCCCTTCCAACTTCTCGCAGGAGCTTTCAAGGCTATGGTTACAAATGTATTCTTTGTTAGCCAAATTATTTGTAATCAACCATCAAACCTTGACAGATATATTTTTTATGTTCGCTGTTTCACACAAAAGTATGACTCGTAATTTCAACTTACACTAGGATAAACCAGGTGAGGGCTTGGTCTTCCATCTCTTGTTTTGGAAACATCTAGTATTAAAGGCTCTTTCTTTGAATTGGTCTGAGTTTGCAAATTCAGCTCACAGTTTTCACCTGAAATCCATCAAAGTTAAAAAAATAATTCTTCTCAATTAATTGTGGTAAATGTTTATGCACTTCCAGTCAGGCTCCAGATTGGTAAAACATTATACAATTCATATATAGGGGAAGGGACCTATAGGGGATTCTGGGTGGTCCATCCCCCCCCACTAAAGATTAGTACAGTACTTTAATACTTTACGTTACTTTACTACTTTACTTTGAAATGCAACCATACGAAAGTAGGTATTTTAAGCCAAGTATGAATGGAGATGAGTGTAGGATGAGTGGCGCGATCTTGTAGCCATGTTAGTGACTAAGGCCGACTTATTCCTTAGACACATCTTAGACATAGCCCATAGAGCCAATGACAACTGGCAACTAAGGGACCTACAGTTTACTGTATTGTGGAATCCGAACCACATTTTTCCACGTATATACCCACATACCTACATATGCATACGATGTTCCACCTGTGATGGTAGTATCGTCCACATTCTAGATATTGTGACTTAAAATTAAAAAAATTGACTTGCAGATGCAATATGTTGGCCAACATATAATCATCCTCGTTTTCTTAAACTAATCCCGTGTTTCTTATTCTTATATAGTAACTTAGGACATAATTCACAGGACTAAAGCACATAAATTGATCAAATAAACAATTATTGAAGCCTTTCTCTAAGAATCCAAAGAAATTAGCAAACTTAATTTCACGCATGGATGGAAATGGGAAACGCTTTTACAGTAGTTGGAATCCTGAAGGAAGGTTTCGATGTGGATGTCTCTCTTAGTTCATCAGTTGAGGTGTTTTTGCTTGGTAGACGTTGCTGTCCTTTATTCACCCTGTAATGGGGAAACGAGGAGGCCAGTATGTTGACCAACATGTCCACTACATCTGCTAGTCAACGGTTCTTGAATTTTATAATGCTTGCTTAATGCCTAAACGAAACTAACAATACTTACTACCTGTCGTTTACAGCTATATTGCTATAGTAAACAGCAATATTGGTTTTTAGTATATTCAAAAACTAGATTTACGAAAGTTAGGCATACATGTTTTTCTTAGTTATTCTGGTAATCGCACTTTTCAAAATTGCCTACTACAACAAAACGTAGAATCAAAGCAGCCATTGCTACCATAAAGCACTTCCCAACAGCACAACCCAAACCGGCGGAGATAAGACATCATTGAACTGTTATTACTCTTGTTTTAACCGGGTTAATTATTTAGTTCGATTTGTCTTCCTGCGCATGTGAACGGAATTTTAATTTCACCCGTATAGCTAAATATAAAAAATGGAGCTTTTCAATCGCTTTGAATCCACTTGAAATAGAACACTTTATGAAAAGTGTTTTTTATCCCCTAATTTTGTTATTCCCTTGACATTATAGCTAAACAAGACTTCTGAAAAATAAACTAAGTATACCTCGTTTCACCTGCAGCATTAAAATAAGTTTTATATAACTAAAATTACAATTAATTGTCCCAACAAATATCCTGAAGAGTGTTATGTTACTGTACCTGCGACTATCGCGGCGAGGAAGGCGGTGAAGACTACAGTCGTGGCCGTGACAACCATCGTGTTGTGCCACGGCGGTGTCACGGCGGAGGTTTATATGCTCCTTGTGTTGCCACTGCTGTCACTAGGGTTGTACAGGTGGCGTGTCACTCTTCTAACTCTGCTAACAATAAAGCTTTTACTGACGCTAACTTGTTTTCTACTTGTTTACATCAATTTACCTTAGATTATGTTGGAATCAAAATATGGAATACGAGTTACCGCGTCGTTGAAACTCGTTCAACTTTGAATGATAACAAATGCAGTGAGATCTGTGAGAAAACAAATTAAATTAAACGTCTTAATTTGATTTTACATCGACCAAATTATGTAACTAGATTTTTAAAATACAAAAGTAAAAAATATGTGTAATGTTTTAAATCTATATTTTTGGTGTCTTAAAAATATCTATGAATTCTTAAAACAGGAAACTTTACAACAACCATTAGTGACAACAACCACTACATTTAATTAAACCTTTACCATTAGTGACAAATATTTTGAATGTATACTATATAAATTTTAAGCTCGTCTCATATTATAGAAATAAATATTCAGTGCTGTGTTTAGAGGTAGGGACGTTTTCATTTCACTCAAACAAAACTGATTGGAAATTGAATTATTATTCTAATTATGTGTTTAAAAGGCCCCAAAAAATACAGAGTTATTATGACATCGGTAAATAAGTTAGGTTGATTATTTTTTTTAGATAAAAATAATAAACAGATAACTTATACTGTATAAATACGATGACACACTTTCTTGGCTTGCGTTATTTGAATAAATTCTTGTAAATAAAATCAAACAAACTATTTACGAGTACGCTAACGTAAATAATAATATGTTCATACTTTCCTTTTATTTTCCAGTAATAGGGAACTTTGTTGATCCAAATACATAGTTTTACCTGATTGCATAACCATACGGGAAAGAACACATTTAATCAAAACAATATAATTAGAACAAGAAAGGAGATTCATGAGTATTATGGACGCAACCTAGAACCTTTAACACTATGAGTTGGAAGAATCGACCAACTTTGTGTGTATTAACAAAAAATGTCCTACATACACTCTTATGTCATAAGCAACGTAAAGAATGTACAAATATAGCAATGCAGATAAAACATATAGCCTACCAAGTATGTTTGATAGTTGTTCGTAAATATGTTTACCGATGAGATTGTAAGATGTACTTACAATTTTGACCCATCTGGTTTTGTAAACGTCGAAATTGCAAGTAGTTTGAAACAAATTTGTATTGCTACACTATACGATCTTGGGTAAAAAATATTTGTTGATTGATTTTGAAATATTTTGAATATTATGTTAGCACTATGATGGTTCGTCAAAGTTAAGTTATGGTTAAAAAGTATTAATTTGTACATTTGTTGTACTTTAACTCAGTTTGTACACTTTAACACCTACTTTATAATACTACTTAATATACTGTTCTTATAATAATGTAATACAAATAGTGATTTATTGGCTGAAAAGTATATTACAGCTCCATATTTCAATTTTCATCACAATTGACAGCTCTTCTCTTTGTGTCAATACCTCAACGTGAAGAACACAGCCCATGTGACACTCTTCTTGTCTGACAAGAAATGTCAACACACATACCACCTCAAACCTTACTTCACTTAGGCACCTTGTCGTTGTCTAATTCTTACGACTGCGTCATATTTACAAATTAATGGTCAGGTTAAATGTATTTTTGGTATGATTGATAATGGATTCAACTGTTCCTAAAGTGATAGCAAGTTCCAAATCATCCTGTCACCTCATATCTTCAGTTATAGAGCAAAGTTTATTGTTGTATACAGTACTCAGTGTACTCACAGTTAACTATTCTGAGTGTAGACTCCAGCCGCTGATGATGTTGTGGAGAGCCAAGTCGACCACCGTAGCCTACTACACGTTACTTTCACACTAACTGTAAACCCAAGAGAAATCAACAATGGTGACTAAAAATCTACACAATAGTTTTCGCGCTAAACATTGATATGATATCTTCAACAGACAGTGACATCCTAATCTAGGAGAAAAATATAGTAGATCAACTAAAAAAATCTACAGTATACAGGGTGTCCCTGATATCTCTACCGACCTTTTAATGTATCCTTCCTGGACCGAAGGCAAACTAAAATATCACATAAACAATTTTAAAAACTCATAAACTACCCAAATGACCACAATTTTATTTTAATTTTATTTTTTTATAAAAATTTGCTACAATACAAAGGCCTATTTTGGAACTAAATATAGAGGTAAACAAATTGAAACCAACTGCATTCGAGTAGCTTTGAGTTTTGGGAAATGTTTCATGTGATATTTTAGTTCTCCTTCGGCCCAGGAATGATACATTAAAAGGTCGGTAGAGAGTTTAGGCACACCATGTATATAATGCTATGGTTCTGCTAAAAAACTACATACAGTAGTAAATTGCGAAAATAGTAGGAAAGGTGTCTCAATCATTAGTTTCTGGTCTTTCCGTCCGGAACACCGGTGTGTAAAAGTTCATTGCTGTGACAATTGTTGTGACTCATTGTTGTTGTAATCCCTTTACAGTGATGTGTTTTGTTTCCAACCCATAACAGATTAGATATTTTTATGACCCAACACATCAGGGTGTGTATTGTAGGACAAAAATAAGTAAATGTTTATTGTTAGGATAATTGTTTACTTAATAACGCTATAATACTTTATCAATGTAAATCACCAATGTGCCTATTGTGTTTTCATATAGTACTAGAGGACCCATGCTGCTCTGCACCGTTAAAATACATATCATATCCGAGAAATAACCAAATTTATGATTTTTTTTTGTTGGTAGAAGATCCAAACAAATTTGGAAAAAAACCCAAATTTTTAACTCACATAAGAAATACATGGGGAACAAATTTCGTTTACGTATAAGCCGAGTGGGACTGTAGATTAATATACTGTATGCCGATGCTTGATGTGAAATCTGTGAGTGCATACCTTCAACTAACTCGGAAAAGAAAAAACAATTCTTTAAATATATAAGATTTTGATTTTGAGTCACCTCTTCTCAAAAAACTGTGGAGTTAAAATAAAGAATATTTTATTTACATGTACTCCCTAGTCATGTCAGTAGTTGATCATTAACGTCTCCAAATAAATTTTAGGGTTTGAATTGGCTGAAAATATAGGTCTATTGTTGACTCGCGTTTGGGGAAAGTAAATCAACTGGTTCTTATAAAATAAATTATCTAGTGTAATGAGGCTATTGTGTAAAATACCCTTGCAAAGTAGTGTAGTGACTTGACCAGTAGTAAATCTGAGGCCATATTCAATCATTGACGATCAAGTTGAGAGAAGAGAGGCTTAGTTTGGTTGCTCCTCACGTTTCATCTTCTGGTTTATCAGGCCAGGGCAGCTCATGATATCCTTGGAGATTCTTCTTCCTCATTTCTCAACATCCACGATACCTTAATGGATGAGGTGTTATCATTAATAGCCCAAACCAAACCCCATAGTGATAGGTGTATTTTGTGTCTACAATGTTCCTACAACTATTGTCAGAAAATATGGGATTGAACAGGTATAATAATTAATATTCCCCACTACAAAGTACATCAGGTCATTACAAATATCATAATCAAGATTAACAATTATCATCACGAACAGAACGAATTTCAATCGCCACGACAACAGATGAGAAAACATTTTGTCGTCCTTTTGCTTTTATAATTCACTAGGTGAAACCCGTCGAAATCGACGGTTAGGGCCCTCCTCGTTTATATGGTCGTGTGGCTTCATTTACAACAAATAATGCAAATGAAATAGTGAAATGTGGCATTTCCAAAGAGAAAAACATAATGTAAATTGGCGGTTAGGTAAATATTGACGATTACATGCATTGTTAATCAACGTATCTTATAAAGGATAATGTGATCTAGTTTAAAAGGAATACGACCTTTCTGTCATGACAGTAGCTGCTTAAATAGTATTTACTCTTATAGCCAAAATATCGTGTTACTTTCAATAACGTAATCAACCCAGTGGGCCACGGTCCGTAATATAGGCCACTGCAAATAATTTGTCAAGATAGGTACCATTTTAGGCAAGGTTTCTGTGTTTGGATGTTATTAGACACGATAAGAGCACACTAAACTTCTTCTGCAGATGAATAACTGTTGGAGAAATATAAGCCGAATCATAAATGTCACAATGCGAGTTTTGAGCATTTTGTAACTATATTATGAGGAAGTTACATAGTAATTTTTAGGCTGCTGTTAAGTGCACTTTAAGAGTATATTTTTTTAGATAAATTAAATTGTAAACCACTATTAATATTTGTCTTACCAGCTTAGGGGCAAACCACAACAATGAGTAAATTGTTTTTGTTGCTGAGTAGCGCTGGTAAACATGCACAACCCTTTTTTCGTTAGTCTAATAACATTCATGGTGGAAGAAAATTTCACCTTGAATAACATTCAAAGACTCTCTAAGAGTTAAAAGAAAATAACATTGCAAATACTTCTTTTGGACAATTCAGTAACTCTCAATAAACGTGTTTTGTTTAAAATACAATTTAAAAATTAACAGCTGTTTCATTAAGGTATTATCCACATGGCCAAAATGTAAACAAATCTGTGGAGGGATCTTTAAAGGCTTCTGGGGCAGAGCCCTAAGGGAATTCACTTACTTTTTCTTTTGTTAAATCATCTACAGACCAAGACCTTTCTTTGGACACCTCTACCAAGTTTCTACGTCCAGCCGTTCTCTCAAATTAGTGGAGACAAAGTTTCCAATCAAAGATTTAGTTTGAGTTAAGCCTCCGAATCACTGATCAATACGTGTACTGGTGAAATTACCTGCTGTCAAGTGATCCTTTTGACCTTGAAAGGCGACCGGTTTCGATCCTCACGGGATCATCTTCAGGCGGACGTCGTCATCGTCTTTTCGTTCTTGCGAACACGTCGTTTTTTTAAAAAACATTGAGTTGACAGTTTTTAACATTTAAAACACAAAAACACAAAACACGAAAAATGGCCAATAACTATTATGGTACCGATCGGTGGAGCGGCGGGCTAGACCAGTCTAGACTCA